AGAACAGTTTATCTTTTGTTTTTGTTTGTTTTTGAGAGAGAGTCTCGCTCTGTCACCCAGGCTGGACTGCAATGGCATGATCTTGGCTCACTGCAACTTCTGCCTCCTGGGTTCAATCAACTCCCCTGTCTCAGCCTCCCAAATAGCTGGGATTATAGGCGCATGTCACCACACCTGGTGAATTTTTATTTTTTCAGTAGAGACGGGATTTCACCACGTTAGTCAGGCTGGTCTTGAACTCCTGACCTCAGATGATCCGCCCACCTTGGCTTCCCAAAGTGCTGGGATTACAGACATGAGCCACTGTGTCCAGTTTGGTTTATCTTTTAATTCAAAAATACAGAAATGTTACCCTTGACCTCCAAACCAATGTTCTGCTGACAATCTTAATAACAACTCCCATTCTAAAATCCTAGATTGGCAAGAAGGCTTATTTTGATTTGGAATTACTGAGAAATCTGTTCGGTTCTGAGCCATTGCAACTGACGTTACATCCATGCCCATTGGCGGCATGGTCTTGTTACGGCCTGCAATTGCTTATAGTGTTATTTACGGTCTTGATTTCACAGCAAAATTAAAGTGACTCTTCCAGATGTTTGGGTTTTTAGACGCCATGTAAATGGGCTTCTAAGTTGGAAAGTTTTGATTATGTTTAGTTCTCTCCTCCTTAACCACCTTCGTGGTCCGTCTTCTACTGGGGAATGCAGTAAAGCCCTCCCAGAGCATGAAATGGACTCAAGGCATTTGCAATGGAAGAAGAAAGGAAAAAAAAAAAAAATCACAGTAATTCCCTTGAAGATCCAAGGCTGAGTGAGAACTACATCAAAACAGGACAAGGTAGGCATTCCAAACCACAATTGCTCAGAAATGGAATAGCACTTGTATTTTTGCTGTTTCAGCAAAATCAATATTAAATCATCTCATGAACTTGCTCGTGAAACTTTTAAAAAATTATATACGGGTAAATATTGTTTTCTTATCACCTTTCTTCTCTTTCAAAGCAAATAAACACAAATAGGAGTGGGAAATAACTGTTTCAGGTCTGTGGTTATGCATTCCGCAAGACCAGTAAGAGGCATTTACCAGGTGCCAGACGCTCAGTGAGAAGATGAGGGTTCAGGATGAAAGTCAACTATAGTCTGAGAGGTGAAGCGGTAGTGTGGAATTGTAAAGTTTCTGAAGACAGTGCAAAAAACAGTGCAGGGAACTCCCCCTGAAGAAAGAAAAATAATGGCAGGTTGACTTGAGAAATATTCGGATCCGCTTAGTGACCAGGGGCCCTTCAGAGTCTCTCAAAACTTCAGTTTCCTCATCTCTTGAATGTGGAGACAACGGTACCTTGAATGAAGTCGTGTGTATGAACTTAGGGGAGCATTAGGTATTGGCAGTAAGACAAGTCTGAGAAGGATAGTCATGTAACTTCAACATTATAAGTATGAGCAAAATACGATTTAGTCAACGTGGAAATGAATGATTTGGCTCTAACCAAAAACTTCTGGGAAAGGGGTCACAGGCAATATTGTTCCTTTCTCTGCCTTTAAAGAAATAATCTAGGCATAGGCTTACTGGTCAGTCCATCAAAATTCATATAATGACAACCATGATAAAGTTGAATAATTGTGATCACACCTGTTTGCTCTTTGAAAACAGAATCATGTGTAATAAAAACCATTTATACTAGAGATCACTCCCTCATCTCAGTCATTCACAGAAATAAAAAGGAAAATGGGCACTGTGTGGCATTCGATGTACCTACTTCTTCAAGGAAGAAATTGACCTGGATCCAAATTAGGGCACATTGGACACACTTAAGAATGCCATTGTTGACTGGAGGTGAGAGGGTCTGAGCAATAACCAGGAGGTTGTGCAAAGCCATCAGAAAGTCACAATGAGAGGTGAGAGGGTCTGAGCGATAGCCAGGAGGTTGTGCAAAGCCATCAGAAAGTCACAATGAGAGACACAGAGGGCCTCACGGTGCCATTTCTAAAGAACGACTTTGGTGAAAAGAATAGAGATCATTACCAAGCAAAGTGGATTCTCTGAATCTTAAACATAAAGTAGCAGAGGTGAGCACACCAGCAATGCCGGGCCCACCAAGAAAGCGTGCTCACCATAGGTGGGGAAGAAAAATGCATGGTCCTGAGAAGCCAGGTGTGGCAAACTGAAAGCCCCAGAGAGGCTGACACATAGCCCTGCTTCTAGATGAGAAGAAATGAATGGAGTAGAAGGAGGCAGAGAGGCAAGTTATCCTTCTTGGTCTACACAGTCCCACATGGCCTACTCCCACAAAGCCCACATATACACCCAGAGCCAAGTGGTGTGCTCTGAGGATCTGCGGCAGGTGAAAATACTGCAAAGCCGAATCCACACACACCTTAATTCCACAACGCTATATGCATTGATAATTATGGCAGGCACCAACTGATAACACTCCCTTATATGGACCCATGGCATGGGCACCACCAAAATAATGTTAGCTGGAGAACTCACATATAGTAGGCGCATTAAAAGCCTTATCTTTAATCCTCATGACATGCTTGAAAGATATCATGTATTCTCATTTTACAGATAAGGGGACTGAAGATAATGAAATTAAGTAACTTACCTAAAGTCACACATCCAGCAAGACCCCAAGCTGTGAGTCCCACCCGCTGCATGGACTGACGCTGCCTGTGATTTATTAAAGTAGGTAGGATGCAAGTTGTAGGGAAAGAAGGCCATTCTTTGAATGAGGGCCTCTGGAAACAAAAAAGAGATTTCCACAAACCAGATGGCAATTTGAAAAGAGATCAGCAGCACTGAAAAATCCTGCACATCTAACATTTCCCAGTGACCAGTCAGACCTCAAGCCTGCCTCAGTTACTTTGTAATTCAACTACTTGATTTTCTAGGCTGGGGGTGGGGTAAGAAGAAGTGTGCCAAGATGTGTTATGGCTTTAATCTTTTCTCTGGGATACTGATTTTATTTGCAAATGTAAGTTTCAGGCAAAGTGTTCTTGGGGAATGCAGCCAAAGGGCAAAGCCCGCGTGGGGCATCAGCTCCTGCACAGAGACCCCACATGCAGTGGGTCTCACCGCAATCCAAGACATCCTTGGGGCAACCTCAAGGAGGCAAAGGGTGAGAGGGTTCAAGTAAACAGATGAGAAAGGGGAGAGAAGACAAGAAAACCTGCTGAGTCTTAAACTGTTCTAATTACTAACTACCTTGATTCTGCTCTTCCCGGGGGACCAACAGGCCTGACCCCACCCCCACACACCCAGGGCAGCAGGCAGATGCCAGTCTCTACTTTTTACGCTTTCAGAAAATCTGAAAATCCGTGTCAACTGTAGGTACCTGCTGCTACCGTCCTGGAAGAAAATGCTATGATCTCCTTTGGAGAATTGGCCTTAGTTTCTCTGTCTCCTCTAGTGTGCTTTAAGAGTGTGTGGGGGGTCTGTGAGCGTACACGTGTTTATATTTATGTATAGATGCATGTACAGATGTGCATATACACGAATACCTCCAGTGAGTGTCCTCTGAGGGCCCCCTCTGTGGAGATAAAGGATCTTCAGGGAAAGCCTGAGTGTGTGAAAACCTCCTTGGAGCCCCAGTTAGCAGTTTCTAATCTACAAGTCATTTGTGAGACACAAGGCAGGGACCCCGGGCTGCTGCAGAAGAATTTTAGGTATGAGCAATGAACTCACAAACCATCCTTCACACTGCTAAAACGCAAAAGAAAGAAGACGAAGAAAAAGTAAAAGAGAAAGAAAAGATGCCCACATGACTCTTTTAAATTTGCTGAAAGGCAGAACCGACCACAGCTTATTTCAACCATCTTTATTTTCAATACAATAAACACCTTTAGGACAAGTCCCCCGCCACTTAAAAGACGGCTCTCCACCAGAGGCATTCTCGCTACCTTCGTGTTTTCTCAAGCACTTGTTCAAAAACACATTTAAGTGGAATGTTTTCGTTTCTGGCGATTGCATTAATGATGGGTTTGCAAACCCTGCAAGCCCACGAGGTCGGCTGGAGCTGGGGGCTGCAGACACCCGGCCCTGGCCCAGCGGCCGCCGCGGGTTGGCTTGGCCGGCGGGGGCTTGGCTCGGCCCCCTCTACATAGCTCCTCATTTGGCACCGCGTGCCTCGGCCGGGCCAAGGCTGTCGCATAGAAGTTGCAGCTCAGAAAGAAAAACACACAGCGGTCAACCGCGGTGACCCTCGCGCTCAGGAGCGCAGCATCCCTGCCACGAGGAAGAACCCAGAGGCCCCGCAGAGCGGGGAGCCGCCGCCTCCCTCCAGCTCTGTCCTGAGAAAGGAAGAAAGCGCTTCTCTAATAACACTCAGGCCCGTGAAGAATCATCTGTAACATCATCTGCTTCTTCCTCGGCTCACTTAGGAGGGCCTCTGGGAGGGTTAGACCCACTAGTGGGGCCCACGACTGGCAGCCCCTTCACCAGGCGAGAGGCCCGGGATCCGCGCGGCGCACGAGCCCAAAGCAGCCGGGGAAGCGCGCACCAGGCCGGGTCCCCGTGGGCGAGGTGGGCGCCCAGTCCCGGCGGGTCTGCCTTGGCCTTGGGACAGTCCGCGGGGCGGCGCCGGCGCTCCCAAACCTGGTTCCCCGCAGGCTCAGGCCCAGCAGTGAGTGCGGGACACCCGAGCGCACCCGCAGCTCCCACTTGTCCAAGGTCTGCAGGACCCCAGGATCCTCTCACAGCCGGGTCAGAACCCCCGAGGCAGGTGGGGTCCCAGCCAGGTGGAACCCAAGGAGCCCGTCGCAGTCGCGGCAGGATCCCGGCGGGCAGGGTCCCCAGAAGCCCATCCCGACCGGGTCCCAGGCGCGCACGCTGCGGTCCTACCTGCTCCAGCCCCGCAGGCGGGCGAAGGCTCCACTGCCCCCGGGGCCACCTGCTCCCCATGCCTGGGCGCCTGGGCCTGGAGGGGGGCGCGGGCACCCGAACCCGGCGGGCGGCAAGAGGCGGCACCAATTAAGCGCCAGGTCCCGCGGGCCCGGGCTTACCGTGAGCGCCGAGAACTTCTGCGCGGGCACCGGCTGGAGCAGCACCGCGAGCAGCAGCAGCCAGCAGAGCTGGGGGAGCAGCATGGTGGCGGAGGTGGCGGGGGCGGGAGATCAGCCGCGCCCTGCGCCCTGGCACTGCTACCAGGAGAGCCCCGAGGGCGATCGCGGCCCGGCAGGCGCGTGGAGGGGCGGCTCCGCGATGCTCTCCCCACAGCTCCCGGAGGCCCTGCTGGAGCAGCTCCCCTGCAGGCACCCAGAGGTCCTCCGCGTCCTTTGCGTCCGCCCTCGGTCCTGTCAAATACCCTGGAGCTTCCCGGATCCTCCCCTCCCGCCCGCCTCCCTCCCTCTCCCTCTCCTCCCCCAGCCCCACCTCCCAGCGCCCGCTGCCGCGTGCCCGCTCCGGCCCAGAGGCCGCCCTGGCGCGGGTCTGCGGAGCGAGAGGTGGAGTGGGGGCCACCAGAGCTGCGTGGTGGCCTGTCGGGGCTGTCTCTGTGCCTCCTTCCCCGCGCGCACACTCGCACACACGCATACCCAGACACACGCACGCACTAACGCCCACGCGCGCACCCTCGGGGGCCTTCCAAGCACAACCACGGGACGCACCGCGCCCTCCTCACGCTCCAGGGTCCAGGCCTGGTCCGCGCAGAATCAGCCCAGCGGGCCTTTTCATCCACAAGGGTTAACGCCAAACTTTGGCCAGTCCTCAGACTCCGGGGTTCTCCTTGACCTCTGCCCTCTAAGGCCCCCTGGTCCGGCCCAGAACATCGCCTCTCAGAGGTGCTGAAGGATCAGCTGCGCTCCAGAAAAGGCTGCGCCGGGGGCAGCCCGCCTTTGGCATCTTTACACGGAGTTATCCACGGCAGGGATGGTGGAATTTAGGTCCTAAAGATCCTGGGTCTGACCTGGGGTGTAGCCTTGATCCTCTGCAAGTGGGGGAGCAAGTGGTTGGCCGTCATTCACAGACACATATGGCTGTTTTTAAACAGCTCTGTCAAAGCATTTCAGGTGTTTATGCGGGGAGCACAGGGCTTGTGGAGGTTTTAAACTCGCCCGTGGAGACTACGGTGGAAACCAAGAAAATTTTGCACACCCAGACTCTGGATAATATCCATTGCAGACAACATTGCTGAAATAGTTTAGCCTTGGCTTATAACTTTACAGGAAAAAACCCTAATTCTGTCTCACACAGAAAGCCAGAAGAGTGAAGATTTGTTCAAGAACAATGAATCAATTGACTTCTCAGGGGCATTGGGGAAAGCACAAAACATAGAAAATCCAAATCTGAGGTTTCATCCGATGTCTAGCCCACTGCTTTGGCTATGAACTCTGGGGGAGGGGGCTGTATCAGCAAGTTCTGGGACTGGCTGCTAAGGCAAAGGCAATGCTATTGCAACCTTTCCCACACAATTTTACCGGGAAAGTGATGACCATCGGGCCACGGAAAGACGGGAAAGAAATGCACCTTTTCCTGAAGGAGGGCTACTCTCAGAATTCTCCTTCAAATTCCAAAGCCCAGGGAATCTATTAAGTACTTAACACATTCCTCCTGGGTTAAGGACTTAGAAGGAAATTATAATAAAACTCTTCAGGGACTGCTTTTGCGTCGAGAAAAACAGGTGAGCAGAGCAGCTGCAAATGATTAAGTAAATAGGAATCACTGTTAGGAAACTGCAGTGAAAATTAAAGAGAAAATAAACACTACATACCACTAATTCTAAGATTATCCAAAGAATAAAATTTACACTCGAAGCTGACATACTTCCTTTAGGAAGCATTTGCTACTAAAGAACCTGTTTTTCACTTTCCACTTTATTGAGAGTACTGCTCATCAGAACTCCAAAGTTTGAAAGCATGTTCATTTATCCACCGTCATCCACTGCAAGAATGGCAGACAAGAAGTAGACTTAATTATTCCCATTTTACAGACGAGGAACAAAAGTCAAAGGGGCCAGATGCCTTAGCCAGATCTCCTAAGCAACAAAATCAGAAACAGAATGCAGATGTTAAAACCTGCAATACTGACAAATCCACTTCACTTCCTTCGGCAACATGGAGAACAGAAGAAAATCCTCGGCCCTCCGTGCCTTGTATTCAAGAATCTCAACACGTCTTTCATGTAGCAACTCCAGAATCCTCTGGGAACTCTAGGAAGATAAATGAAATGCATTTGTCCAAAACTCTGACAGATAAGGCAGGGTTGGAGCCTTCGAAACCCCTTTCAAATCTGGAGGAGCTCATGTGTCCTGAATGCCAAATTTTAGTTTCTCGAAATTCTAGAAATGGAGTTTGGAGAGATAATCAGTCTCCATTTTTATGAAGAAAAACAATATATTTATTTTAAACACTGGGAAATAGTTATGTCTGTCTTTTATTTGTAAGTCTTCAAGAAAGTTATTACTGGCAGGAATGCCAGAGAGCTGTCATGTTAGAAAGGATAGAAAAGTAATTCACTTCGTTCAAAGTTAAGACAGGAAGTGATCAGCTCTATACTTTCCAAAGAGTTTCTATAGGATGCAGGAAGAAGTTCCCTTCTCTTGGAAATGTAGGGCTGTGTGTGTGTGTGTGTGTGTGTGTGTGTGTGTGTGTGTGTGTGTGTGTTTTAATTAAAAAGTGATGCAGGGCCCATTCTAAAATGTGGCTTATGCATTCAGAATTTAAATGCTTGTCACTGATGAAAGTTACAATAAAGAACAGCAAGAGAAACTAATTACCAAGGACTCCAGCTATTCTCACATTTCTAAACTAACTTTCCCTCTTAGGCCATTAGCAAAATGCTTTATCATGAGTATTGGCTTCCTTTTTATTTATTTTACTATACTAAAACTGCAAAACGATTTTATTTTCATGATAGACATGATATAATTTAGTTATTATTTCTGGCTAATTCATGTTTAGCCAGAAAACCTCTGGTTGGCTATTTTCCCATCTCAATATGCAAAGCATAAATTTAGTCAAGTATCTCTTTGTTGATGCAGTGGCTTCCAGTAATCCCCTCTGCCATCACTGAGTATTGTCTGGGACTGAACTCGGGTCACTGTTCATACTCTGAGAATCACCCCACATCATCAGTCACCTGCCAATCACTTGTTTTATTAATGTTTCCTCCTGGTTTCTACTTAATCATGGGAGCAGGAGTCTTCACTGTTCACTGGACTTTCTTTAGACTACCCCCAGGCTGGACCCGAGAATCTCTAGTTCCCCAGGTTTCCGGAGTCTCTGTCCTCTTGTTGGCTTGTTCATTCTGATGGCTAGCATCTTCCTTTTAATTTGTTCCCTTCGACCCATGGAAAAATAATGCATGATCTCCACATCAATCCCAGGTTTTCAACCTAAGCTCCACAAACCTGTGAGCCATATAGAAAGGAAACCACATCGGCAGAATTGACAAAATCAGAAGAGAGCACCTCCGAGGCTCACTGTCACTGCGGCTGCAGGATGAGGCCAGCATTGACACACCACATTGAAAAGTGGACAGTGGAGTTGTGTGTTTGATCCTTGGGCCTGACTCAATGGCTTTCTTCCTATTTTGATATATTTAAGTAACAGAGAATTTGGACTTTGTGCTCAACAAAATAATGTAAATAAGTTTCTTCTTCCTAAGATGCCTGAAGACAATTTTTATGATAATACTTTTCAGGAACTTTGTGGAACAGTTTTTAAAAATAATTTCAGCTTTTATTTTAGACTCGGGGTATACGTGCAGGTCTGTGACATGGATATACTATGTGACGCTGAGGTTTGGGGTATGAAAGACCCAGGGAGTGAGCATAGTACCCAATAGGCAGCTTTTTCAACCCTTGTTCCCTGCCCCGCCTCTCTAGCAAGCCCTAATGTCTATTGTTCCATCTTTATCTCTATGTGTACCCAGTATCTCGTTCCTTATCTCAATGTGTACCCAGTGTCTAGCTCCCACTTATGAGTGAGAACATCCAGTATTTGCATGTCTGTTCCTGCACTAATTCGCTTAGGATTATGGCCTCCAGTTGCATCTGTGTTGCTGCAAAGGACATGCTTCCATTCTTTTATGGCTGCATAGTATTCCGTGGTGTCTATGTACTACATTTTCCTTGTCCAGTCCACTATTGATGGGCACCTAGGTTGATTCCGTGTCTTTGCAATTGTGACTAGTGATGCATTTAACACACAAGAGCATGTGTCTTTTTTGTTGGATGGTTTATTTTCCTTTGGATACATACCCAGTAATGGGATTGCTGGGTCGAATGGGAGTTCTATTTTTAGCTCTTTGAAAATCCCCAAACTTCTTCCCACCGTGGCTGAAATAATTTACATTCCCACCTACAGTGTATAAACATTCCATTTTCTCTGCTGCCTCAGCAGGATCTGTTGCTATTTGACTTTTTAATAGTAGCCATTCTGAGTGGTGGGAGATGGTATCTCATTGTGGTTTTGATTTGCATTTCTCTGATGATCAGTGATGCTGAGCATTTTTTAATATGTTTGTGGGCTTCTCGTATGTCTTCTTTTGAGAAGTGTCTGTTCATGTCCTTTGCCCACTTTTTAGTGAGGTTGTTCTTTAGCTTATTGAGTTGTTTCAGTGCCTTCAGATTCTGGACATCAGACCTTTGTCCGATGCATAGTTTGCAAATATTTTCTCCCATTCTGTGGGTTGTCTGTCCATTCTGTTGCTAGTTTCTTTTGCGTGCAGAAGCTCTTTAGTTTAATTAGGTCCCACCTGTCAATTTTTGTTTTTGTTGCAATTGCTTTTGAGGACTTACAAAAGTAAGTAATACATTCTATGCCAAGACTGATATCCAGGATGGTGTTTTCTATGTTTTCTCCTAGGATTTTTATAGTTTGAGGTCTTTCATTTAAATATTTAATCCATCTAGAGTTAATTTTTGTACATGGTGAAAGGTAGGGGTCCAGTTTTAATCTTCTACACATGGCTAGCCAGCTATTCCATCACGACTTATTGAATAGGGAATCCTTTCTCCATTGCTTATTTTTCTTGACTTTGTTGAAGATCAGATGGTTAAAGGTATGTGGCTGTATTTTTGGGTCCTCTATTTTGTACCTTGGTCTATGTGTCTATTTTTGTGACAGTACCATACTGTTTGGGTTACTGTAGCCTTATAGTATACTTAGAAGTCAGGTAATATGATGTCTCCACTTTATGGAAATTTTTAATAAATGGTTGGAATGTGATGGGTGTTTTACATACATTATCTAATTAACTTTCATGGAAACTCTACAAAATGGTTATTTTACAGATAAAAAATAAGATCCTGGGAGACTACAGAAATTACCTGGATTTACACAGCTAGGAAGTGGTAGGAGCAGAA